TAGCAGTGTAAGACTAGAGGGAAGGCAGCTAGTCATCACCACCCTCCGCCAACTCTTGGGCTACTCTTTTACCAACGAATAGTGGGATTGACCGTCACATTATAACGCCCCCACGGCTGAAAGGGCGAGCATGTTTCGTGTGACGGGGATTCGAACCCGCGACCCGCAGATTGCGAGTCGAGCGCCCTAACCACCTGACCATGCCGGGCCTCAATTTTAAGATGTTCGTCAATTTCAGATTTTTGTGAAATCTGTTTCCAGGTGGGTCAAGGCTATGTCTTTGATCTTACATTAGCCCATTGTTAAATTTGTAGCTCTAATTGTCAAGGAATTTTTCTAAACAACACACTATGTTATTTTTTGCAGTTTGTAGATTTGTTCCTTAAATCTTAGGAATTGAAGACAACAATATTCGAGAAAAAAAACACTTTAATGTCGAAACGATCATGAAAATATCAATTGTTTACACCCATAGTCAAGCCTGCGTTTTGATATGCAGAAGTACACGAGTACACATTAAGTATTTTAGAAAAGCATACTTTGCCTTTTATTCAGTTTAAGTTATAGGCTCCCTCTTTTTAAATTTTTTTATTTCCAGAGTATATATTTTATTAATTTTTTTATCTTTTGAGTCGTAATCAATCATTAGTTCCACTCACTGCAGTGTCATATGTCACGTTAATGTAACTGAACTGACAAAAACTGATGGACCTGGGAAGAATATGGTTTAGATAATAAAGGAGGTGTCAAAGGCAGGAAAGGAAGATGTGAGAGCAGAAGATTCTGGAGGATATCACAAAGTTAAAATTACTATTATCCGATAAAGTGTACATAATGCTAATTCAATGAGGGGTGAAATGGACGTAAGGCAAAAATAATAATGCTGGAACCAATGATATTAGGCTATTCAAGAAACTAGTTCTCAAGATCGCAACCATGAGTAAAAGGTAATGGGACTTGGAGAAGTTTTGGTATTGAAGGAACTAGTTTTGAAACACTCGTATGTCCTCTTCAATCTCACGTCATATTCTGGCATTAAAAGTGGTCAACGTGAGACTGAAGAGGATACACAAATCTGTCGAAACTGGTTCTCCAGCATCAATACTTCTGAGAGATTGTTCCATTTACCGTGGTTTTTAAAAAACTGCTACGCAATATATCTTGTGCTTTTATTATTAGAAGTTAGTTAATGAACTCAGAGACTGAGTGGACCTGTTATAGGACCAGCTTTAATGTTTCCAGTCAAACCACGTGTAGTTCTATTAGCCAAGGCACAGTTTTCTAGCCAAGGAGCCCTCAGGAGCCACAGTCAAGTCTCTTGAGTTGACGATAATAAAAGCCTCATACAGAATTGTAACCATGCACCTTTGGAACTAAAAGACCACTCCCTTCTTTCCGGCCCACAGACAAATCAACAGAATATGATGAGAACTTACTCTGGGAAGCATATTGGGCCTGTTTCAAATTATTTATTAATTTAAGTTATCCAATAAAGAAGAGCATTCCGTTCACCTTTCTACCTACTTGAAAATATCAACCTTAACAACACTATACAATGTACCATTGGAAAACTGGAATTGTTTCCAGACATCATTATTTTCTTTTTTCCAACTAGGTCACAAAGAAGTATTACAAATTACCATATGCAAAATTGGGCCCTAGCTGAGTTGCTGAGAATTTGGAACGTTTCTCACAGTTATTATAACAGGAAGTGTATCGAGAGCCAGTCATTCGTCAGCACATGATAATATCACCAATGTCATTCAAAATGAAAACGTGTATCAGAATTAATCTAAGTTGAAGAAAGCTGTTCAACTTGACATAGAACTGGATTCTATTAACACCACTGATAGAGAGAATGCTACTAAGATTTGTGTTAATTAAAATATATTATCTGAAAAACAATTGTTAAATGTCCAGGTGTAAA